TTTTGTATAAGCCTCTAGTTTATTCCCATAACATGTAATGCTGGGGCTTGTTTTTAGATAGATATTACTTACCATTTTAATGAAAGGTGGAATTTCAAGATGGTGGAATAAGACAGGAAATACTGGGACCTCAAAATTCAAAATGGCTGAAAAATACAGGAAATACCATGCTCTCAAAATTTCTTTCACAAACAAGATAAAACATTGCCTCAAAATTAACTTTAACAGCAGAAATAATTAAAAGTCAGAGTAAAGCAGTTGTCCTCCAAAGAAAACCAAGGAAGATCTCAGGAAAGACATGAATTCTAGGGGTAGAGGTTTGGCTGGAGTGAAGTACAAACACCTCCAGTCAGACTTTCCTGATTCAACAAACAACAAGATGTGGAGGTAGCTGTGTAGGGCAGCATCCTCAGCTTTCTGCACTTTCACCTCAAGGACAGTGGGGGAGCCAGACAGTTTAGTGGGGGAAGATCAGGCCCAGTTGTGTTGATGGGATGTGGTCCTGGGCTGCAGTTGTGTGTGAAGAGGAGCAAACACATGCGTAGTGAGTATGATAGCAGAGGTGTGGGGACCCAGCTTGCTGTGGATACTTGCAGGAGAGCAGAATTTCTAGTTTTGGTTCCAGGACAGAAGGGAGAGCTGAAGTTTGCAGCTGTGGAAGGGGCCACAGGAAGCAAAAGCATTTGAGGTGACAGCTTGTCTGGAGACCCTAGCCATGTCTCAGGATGGAAGGGATTGCCTGAGGTTGATTGCTACAAACAGTGCTTAGAAAACAACAGTACAAAAAACTTGAAGCCTGAGACATTGCCACCCTCTACTTGGGACTGGAACCTGACTATAACAATATGTCACTAAAATAATGAGTACACAAAAGAGAAACAACACATTAGATAGCTACTATGGGAATAGAATGAAATCTGAGTTCATATTCAGAAGAAGTTAGTGAAGTTTAAAAAGCCATTCCTACTTCAAAGAAAAATGTCAAATGGTTACAAGCCCAAAAAGAGTTCTTGGAAGAGCTTAGAAAGAACTTCAAAAATCAAATAAGTGAAGTTGAGGAAAAATTAAGAAAATTATGAAAAGAAAACCAATCAATTGGAAAAAATGACCCAAAAACTTAAGGAAGACAATAATTCCAAGCTAATGACACTAAAAAATAATAAAACAAAATTTAAAAAATGAAAAAATAGAAGAGAATATGAAATATGTCATTAGAAAAGCAATTGATCTAGAGAACAGAGCAAGGAAAGACAACATAAGAATTGTTGGACTACCCAAAAATTATGATAAAAAAGAGTCTAGCGTCTACAAAAAATCATTAAGGAAAATTGCCCTGAAGTTCTAGAATGAATAGAAGTAGGAAAAAAAAAAAACATTGATCACCACCTGAAAGAGATCACAAGATGAAAACTCATGGAAACATCATAACCAAGTCCCTAAACTCTCTGGTTAAAGGGAAAATAGTTTCTGTGCACTTCTGTAGAGAATGTCTGTCCTTGTTTGGTTCTGCTTTATATTATTTAGGGTCCCGTTGTTGCTTTCTCTAGGTATTGAGTGCCATGTTTTTCAATGATCTTAGGAAAAGCTCCAGACAGTGACCTTCAAATAGTTTGTGAATGCTAAGTAGTCTGATCTAAGATGAATTTTGATCACTCTCCTTCTGGTTTGAACTTTACAAGTTCTTGAACCTCCTTTGAATCCTTTCACTGTAGGTTTGTCTCTGGTTACAGCTCTAGTAGACTGCTCCTAGCCCTGACTCCTTTCACTTATGTGGATGGCTCATAATTTCAGACCAACAGAATTGAGTCCTCCTCTTAGTTCTGTGCTCCCTTCCCTGCTTACTCAGTTTTGAGTCTTAGCCTAGGGTTGTAGACTAAACCCATAACTCTGATAAGAAATCAGAGCCACATAGTTTTTGCTTACTTTTTGTTCATGCTCCTTGACCAGTATTTAGCTTCAGAGCAGGTCTGAACTGAATTTATTAAAATGCACAGCTTCAAGTCTGAGCTTTAAGCCAGCTCCTTGTCACAGGTCCCCATATTAGTCCATGCTATCTTTGATCTAGCTCCTAAAAAGAATGACACAGCTCTTGCTTCTGTTCTTGCTCCCTGCAAAGTATATAGTGTCAGACACTGTCACTTGGATAACCTACCTTGTCTTAATGTCTAGAGTTTTGACTTGCACATAGTAGGGAAAGGGAGAATAATCATACCTGTGATTTCATTAGCATAGAGAACCCTTGGGTGGCAGGTTGCCACCTTCTTTGCAACTTATACAGTAGTCTTATAGAGCACTAGGAGTTAAGTGTCCTGCCCACGGTTTTTCAGCCAGTATGTCATAGGCCAAACTTCAGCCCAAGACTTTGTGGCTTCACTCTAGTTTTCTCTCTACTTTATTTTTTCATGCACATATTAGATTCTTAATTAATGTTTGCTGAATTTGTTGATTGTTTAATTGACAAATATTAAAGGATTTTGTGAATAAGCTATGGCTACAAAAAGTTTACAAAGTTGGATGATAAAGAGCAAAGAAGAACAAAACAATGATATTGATCACCCTCTCCTCCTGGATATTCTATCTTCTCTGGGTTTGTGCCACTTCTTTTTCATCTTTCTCCTCATACTTGTCTAATTGCACTTTCTCAACTGGCTTTGCTGATTCATTATCCATATTACACCTTCTAATAGTGGTTATGCCACAACATTTTATCCTGAGCCCACTTCTCTTTCCCCTGTATTCTCAGTTATTTCAGATCCCATGGGTTTAATCACCTTTTCATGGGTGCCTCATAGATCTATACATTCAGTTACAGTGTATCTTTTGAGTTCCATCTTACATGACCAACTTCCTATTAGACATTTTGAACTGGACGGTCTATAGGCACCTAAAACTCAATATGTCCAGAACAGAACTCATTATTTTTTTCCTCAAACCAACCTTTCTTCCAAACTTCCTTATTTCAGTTAAGAGAACCAACACCCTTCCAGTCTCCCACTTTTGTAACCTTGGTGCTCTCCTTTACTTCTCTGTCTCTTACCTTTTCAAACTGCTGCCAAATCTTGTCACATTTGACCCCTTCTCACTACTCGTATAGCCGCTACCATGGTTTATCGCTTCTGACAGGACAGTATGGTCTTTCAAATTGGATTCCCTGCTTTAAGTCTCTCCCCTCTCCAATCTATCCTACACAAATATTTTAAATTAATGCTTATTAATTGATTGTTAGACTAACAGCAGTGCAATAATATCACCCTGGGAAGCTAGATAGTGCAAGAGGCAGAGTGTTGGACCTGGAGTCAGGAAGACCTGAGCTTAAACACTGACACAGACACTTCCAAGGCTATGTAACCATTGGCAAATGGTATAGTCTTTTTCAGCCTCATTTTCTTCATCTATAAAATTAGTATAATAAAAGCAGTTACCTTATAGAGTTGTTTTAAAGATCAAATAAGGTAACATATGTAACATGCTTTGCAAACCTTGAAACCCTATACATATGCTAGCTATCACAATTATCATCATCATCATCATCATCATCAGATATTGGCAGTTTTGAGGAGTTGGCTCTATACGTATACATACTTATACATACTGTTCCTGATGTTTGTTTTCCCTACATACTCCCTGGTCCCATGTGTTCTTTGCAGATGTGTCCTGGTTATATAGTAGTCTGTGAGAGAGTATGACATATGTTTGTGGTAATAAATTTCCTCAATAGTGTATTTGCTATGCTAATTTTTCAAAGTTTTTGTTTTTAAGTCATGTGTTCTCTGGCTGGCATATAAAAAGAAACACACCTATGAAAGCACATGGGCTACAGTTTTAAGTGACTGCTGACCCATAAAGTGTTTCATACTTGAAAGGTAGTGTTTTGTGTTTTTTTTTTTAATCTCACATGTGAAGGGTTATCCCAGGTGGTATATTTAGACTGGGTACATGCCATTGGTGTTTAGAGAAGACAAATTCCAAGGTAATTCTTATATCTATGAATTGTTTTATAGATGACTCTATAGTTATAATTGTCTTACATATTATATTCTCAATTTATAGATATAATTCTGGGTGGATTTATATGCATGAATCACAGTCTAGACCCTCCCCTCCCACAAGGAATTCTGGCTCTCGACTCATACAGACCCAGATTCATCCTGGTGATGGCCTTAATACAAAGTTGGGAGGGGGTAGCTTTCTCTATCTTCAGACTTGTTGTCCCCAACCCTGGAGCAACTATAGGAAAATGTCTAAAACAAAGTTTAGGTGTGGCTTATGTTTAGGTTTTCCTCAAAATGTGCATATTACAATCTTCTAGAAAAAGGTATTCAATGTAAAATATGTATACCAAATATAAATTCCTACATTTGGCATTTAAAACTTTTTGTAATTTTCACCCTTCTTATATGTCTAATTTTATGTTTTACTTCCTTCCACACATTCTATAATCCAACTCTACTGGCCTACTTGTGGTTCCTTATACACAATACTCCATCTCTTGCCTCTGTTTCTTCATACTGGCTTTCCTTATATCTAGAATTCTCTATCCCCTCACCTACCCTTTTTAGTTTCCTTGAATTCTTTCCAGGCTCAGTTCAAATCCTACCTTGTTAGAGGACTTTCCCAAACTCCCTGTTGTTAGTACCTTTCCCTCTCAGATTACTTTCTACCTATTCTCTCTCTCTCTTTACCCTTCCCTCCCTCCCTCCCTCTCTCTCTTTCTCTTTCTCTCTCTTTTTCTTTCTCTCTCTCCCTTTCTTTCTTTTTTTCTTTCTTTCTTTCTATCTCTCTCTCTCTCTCTCTCTCAACTTCCTTCCCCTTTTTTATATACTTGGTTATTTACATGTTGTTTTCTCAATTAAAATGTAAACTCCTTGAAGGTGGGGACAGTTTTTACCTTTCTTTTAATCACCAACATTTAGCACATAGTACTTGGCACATAGTAAGCATTTAAGCTTGACTTAGCTTTAGGGTAATGATTATCTGTCAAAAACATTATGTTCTTCTAGGAGAAAAAAGACAACTTTGTGGGCTTGCTAAAAGAGCTGAAACTGCTATTTGACATTTGCTTGCTCTTTACACTGTCCAAGCAACTCCTGAGAGCTAGACCCCCCGGACGGTGAGGCATGATTATTTAGGGTTTCATGTTGATGATCATTTTTTTTCCCAAGAAGCAAGAGGCATTATGGGAATCACCTCTCATGGGGTATCTGACCCTCAGCTTCAGAACTCTTACACTTCCAAATTCTTTAACTCATAAGATCGCTACCATGTGTCTCAGGTTGGCATCTATAGACTCATATTCAGAGAAGAAGACACAAGAGGCCATTCAGGGGCTTAGGCTTACTTCTAATCAAGCACATCTTTTCACTGTCATATGATTATAGCAGATTGCTGCTGGGGTTTTGAGAAGAGAGGAATCTTCCCTTCCCTCTTACTGGAAGTCTAATGGAGAGAAATTCTTGAATTATCCCCTGATTCAGCTAGGTGGCACAATGGACAGAGTGCTGGGCCTGAAGTCAGAAATGCTCATCTTCATGCATTCAAATCTGATCTCAGACAGTTGCTATCTGTGTGACCCTGGTTAAGTCACTTAACCCTGAGTGCCTCAGTTTCCTCATCTGTAAAATGAGTTGGAAAAGGAAATAGAAAACCGTTCTAGTATCTTTGGCAAGAAAACCCCAAATGGGGCCACAAAGAGTAGGACAAGATTGAACCAAAACAAATATAACATTCTCTTCTATATAGTCTTCTGGGAACCTAGAGAGGCTCAAGAATTGCTCTTTTGAGCCTTGCACTAAAGTCAACAAGCACAATTTTAATTGGCTACTGGGTGTGATGCAAAAAATTCCAGTAAAATTTAAGTTGTATATACCATCCATGGTAAGAGATATCAGTTTCAGAGATGACATATGAAGGGCCCACACTTGGGGAACAGATAGGCAACCACATACTTGATGCTGCATGGCCTCTGCTATCCTTCCATGATTTTCGATGTTGCTTCTCTCTTGGAGAGATACCTTTGTAGCGTACATTGCTCTGCTGGGCTCACTGGGCCAGCTCCAGGCTTTGAGGTCTGACATCCTTCAAGCACCAAAATCCCACCCAGTTCCAAAATCCAACCTCTGCCTTTTCTTGACTATCCAGGAATGGTAACCTCATCTTAAACTCCCAGTCTTGCCTATGTAAATGAGTGGGTGGAGAAAAGGCACTGAGACAATCCATACCTAGGAGGAAAGTCCTTGGTCTCTGCCAATATCTCAGTTGCTTTTTGTCTATTCACAGTAGGAAATGAAATTTTGTCCTATACCTTTACTAAGTGCAAATAGACCTGACTGACACCCTTACAACCAGAAATAGACCACAATATACAACATGGATCCCAAATATAAATTCTTCTTTCAAAGCCTAACATTGTTACAAAATGCAAATAGGCCATTCAAAGTACATATAGAGTCAAGTTTCAAAAAGGCCTTGCCCCATACTATTATGGATGTTTGTACTGAAGAAGAAATTTCCATGAAAGTCAGTTTGCTCAGTAGCCCTATTTAAATAACCTCTTTTTTCCCCCAAGGAGAGTGAAGAATCGTCTTTCTCTGAGCAGTCATATTGAATTATAAAAAAATATAGCCATAGAGAATCATATCAGGTCAATCTTATTCAAACTCTGCTCTGCACAACACTATATTTACCAAATATAAAAGATTCCAGAAGTTTATGGCTGAGAAGGAAAGTCAGAATGTATCCTAAATTACTTCCTGTAACAATTTGCTGAACATATGTTCATGAATGACAGATAGTATTTGTAGATTTTTTTTATTGGTCAATAGTAAAATGTTTATAAGAAAACTATGATTAAAAATACTATAGCCTCTTTCAGATATGAAGATCTGAATATATCTCACCTTTAAATACAGACACATTCCTAAAGAGCAATCTCTTTGAATGAAAAAAAAATACAAACTGAAAAACAGCTATAAACAATGTCCACTCATTGGTTTTTATACAAGGCGATTTTTTTGGGGGGAGAAAAAGGTCCAAACTATTTTTGAAGGAATATTCTGTCTGAAAATTAAGTATGTAGAAGAAGAATTAGAGTAATTCTGTATATTTTGAACTGAAAGGGAGATTTGTGAGTAAGGAATGGAATTTATGGGGAAGTAGATTTGGGGCAAACATATGATAGTGTTCTTAGAGCTGATGAAAAGACCATAGAGTGCTTTCCAAGAGATTAAGTTTATAGTCACTGGAAGTGTTAAAGAGAGCCAAGAAGATCATTTGTACAGGCATGTTGTAGGGAAATTCCTACATTAGGTGTAGGGTTAAACTGTACTTCCTATATGACCCCTTATAAACCAGAGATTTTATGATTTTTTTGAAATATGTGATTGTGTCATGGGATAACCCAAATGTAGCCTTAGAATTTTTGGTCTAGAGTACAATTAAAAAAATTAATTCATCTGTCAATTTATTAATCTGTTTTGTCCTGCTTAAAATACATTTATTTCTCTTAAACAAATTTGTCTCACAATTTTTTTTCTTTCTCTAGAGAAACATAGGTATTCTTCTCAATTTAAAAATTCTGACACTCACAAGACTGTGGTGATTCCTGGTTACAGCAGCTTCCTAATTCTTGAGATTTTGAATAACACAAGTGTTTTAGCTCTTGCTACCATGCCTGTTAAAGTATATACAGGTATGACGTTTCCAAGTAAATCTTGGTTCCTGTATCACTTTGGGACTACGAATGATTCCTCTACGTGGTCCATTACTACATCCTCCTGTAAACATGTGATCGTACATGATGATGTCAACACATCAACCAACATAGTGAAATATCTTGATCTGGGGTCTGCCTTTAAGTTTAAAATTAAGGTTCTCTCAGACATGCCATACAGTAAGTATGATTTTTTTCTTAAACTCTGTAAACTATCACTTGCAATTTTAGGATTACCTTTGTTTTCCCGATTAAGTTCCTCTTGATATTTAGTTTATCTTCTTTTACAAAACGTGTTAGAGATTCCTCTGAAGATATTTTTTCTTGTTCTCGTGACAATTTTCTTTTTCTTTCATATCAGATCTTTTGTATTTTCAACCGTTGACAGACCTTTAAAATGCAGCAAATTGAATATTGAATTAATCAACATTTTATACTCAGCTCTGAATTGAAAATGTATACATATATAGTTCCAATCTACATTTACTTAAATTTCAAATATTTTGTGATCATTATTTAAATAATGTATATATATATGTCCATGTACAAATTCATATGTATATATTTATAAATATACATGCATTTGTATGTTAGTCTAAACTTAATTTTTGTGGGATTTATTTATATATCACATATATTTACATATCTAGATATACAATATACACCTAAATTGGAATATATATACACACTATGTTATCCTATATAGAGAGGTTATATTGTCTATATATAAATAATGATATATACAATATATCTATATGTGAGTGCATATATGTAAACATACATATGGATTGTATATATTAATGAGTTGCATATATACATATATATGGATTGTGTACACATATACATGAAAATGAAGTTATACGGTATATGTATATGGAGAGAAATATATATATCTATGATTACCTCCCTTTTCCAATGGGCCCCTACTTCTTTAATAAAGAAGTACAGTTATATAAAACAAAGCAAATACATCGACCATATCTGCACCTATAGACTATCACCTGTCTGCTTAGATAAGGATGATGTGCTTCATTGTTAGTTGTCTGAAGTCACAACTGGTCACTGAATTTATTAGAGTTCTGATTCATTTCAACGACCCTCCCCCTTTACATTATTGTGGCCATTGTGTAAATTGTCCTACTGGTATCAGTTTTTGCAAATCTTCCTGAGTTTCTCTGAACTTGTCATATTTATCTAAAATAATAGCACAGTAACATTTTATATTCTTACACCAAAAACTTTTTTTGCAGACATTTTTCAGTTCATGGACATTTACCTTTTTTTCTCTTTATATACTATCTCTAAAAGTGCATCTATAAATACTTTGGTACACGTGGGGACATTCATTCTGCATTTGTTCCAGTAGTAAGATATCTATTAATATGAGAAATTATATTTTAAAATATTAAATGATAAAAGACTAGGAATTAAATCAATTCTGTCATACATATAAGATACTACTTAAAAAAAACAAGTTGAAGTGAGCATTAAAAAAAGATTAACAAGAGATTAGAAAAAGAAATATGGCTAATGATATAATTTAAATATTCAAATGCTCAGGAGAAGGGAAGGAGAAAGAAGCAAATCAGTAGTTATGTCATGAACTAAGTATAACTGAATCAACATCATTGGTCAGAATGAGCAATCGTGTCAGTGATGAGAGAGGAGAAAGGATACCAAGGGGGGGGGGTGGAGGATCAGGAGATACCTAGTCAATAGGTGAGTCATGAAGGATTTATCATTTCTTTAGTCTTATAGTTAATGAGAGTGGATCTGTAGGGGAATTGAATAAATTAAGTGGAGGAAAGGGGACTGGGATAGGAAGGGGAAAAAGGAAGGATGACATCAAAGATCATAGAAAGTATTATATCTGGGATAAGAGGCAGCATCATTATAATGACAAGTTTGCACATTAGAAAAGTACCTTCTCAGTGAAAATTAGAAAAGTATCTCTCAGGACTATATTTCACCCAAGATAGGAATATTATAAGCCCTCAATGGGCTAGAAAACCTAGGTGGCATGAGACATGAAACCAAGGACATGATAAACGTGGCCTTAGGTTACCCACAATCCAATAGTTATTGCAATAGTCCAGGTTTAATATGATAAGGGCAAAAACTAGGGTGATAGCAGTGTTAGAAAAGAATATGAAAGATGTTACAAATGTTGAATTGACAAGACTTGGTAACAAATTAGATATTGGGTAGGGAGAGAATGCATTGAGGCTGACACCAAGGATGTGAACCTGGGTGAATGGGATGATAAATGGGAAATAAAAGAGGAATATTTTGGAAGAAAATGATAGGTTTAATATTGACATGTTTAGTTTAAGATCACTACGGGACATCAGTTCTAGGCGTTAAACAGAGAGTTAAAGATTCAAAACTGAAGGTCAGGAGAGAGGTTAAAGTTGGATCAATAGACCTAAGAATCATGTGCATGGAAATAATAATTAAACACACAGGAACCAATGAAAGCACCAGCTAAGATAGAATAGAGTGAAGAGAATGTCTAAGACAAAGGCTTCAGGGATGGAACACTCATGGTAAGACCTAGGTCAGGAGTGGGGAACCTGCAGCCACAAGGCCACATGTGGCCTTCTAGGTTCTCAAGTGTGGCCCTTTGACTGAATTCAAACTTCACAGAACAAATTCCCTTAATAAAGTGATTTGTTCTGTAAAACTTGGACTCAGTCAAAATGATGCTCCTAAGGATCTAGAAGGCCACATATGACGTCGAGGTTCCCCACCCCTGACCTAGATGAAGATCCAGCAAAGGAAATTGAGAAGGAACAGTCAGGCATATAAGAAGAGAACCAGGAAATTACAGTGTCATAAAAATGTAGAGAGATTATTTCAAAAAGAAAAGGGTGATTGACATTGTCAAAAGCTTCAGAAATGAGGATTGAGAGTAGGTCATTAGATTTGGTGCTTAAAATATCATTGGTAACTTTAGAAACAATGGTTTTATTTGAACAATGAAGTCAGAAGCCAGATTGCAGAAAGTTTTGAAGAGAATGAGAGGAAGCATTAATAACAGACAATTTTCTCAAGGAGTTGAACTTTGAAAGAGAAAAGAGATGTAGGATAATAGCTACCAAGGATGTACTGGTTAAAAGAAGGTTTTTTTGAGAATGGGAGAGATGTGGGTGTGTTTGTAGGCAGCAGAGAAGTAAACAGGAGACAGAGAGAGATTGAAGATTAGTGAGTGGGTGGAGATGATAGAGAAATCTGCTAAAGAACACAAGACAGAATGGAATAAAGGGTGCACATAGATGGTTTTCCGGGTGGGGAGCCTGTGGCCTCGAGGCTTTTTATTAAGGGGATATGTCCTGTGAAGTTTGGATTCAGTCAGAGGGTCGCACTTGAGGACCTAGAGAGACACAGGCTTCTCTGGCTTAGCCTTTGAAGAAGGGTCACTTTTTCATATGAGATAGTGGTGAAGTCAACAGTGAGATCTATGTGATGTGAATTCAAGTGGAAGGGATAAGATCAGGCTCTCAACTGGTGGTATCATTCTTTTCAGGAAAATATGAGGCAAGGTTCTGGATGAGAGCATGGAGGAAAGGGATGCCATGGGAGGCTTGAGAGGGTATGAAATGTTACTGTGGTGAGCGGCATAGTGAATTAGAAAAGTGTAAAAGGTTTGTTTTGCTGCAGGGAAGTCCCAGTTGAGATTATGTAATATAAACTTTTAGTGGATCCAGTTAGAAAGTCTTCAGAATTTTCGCCAACCCCATTCAGATATATAAGGGAATGGAAGCAAAGGCAGATGGCACAGAGTAACCCAAGATTGGCTTTTGGCAAAGTGTGATTGGTGATGGGATAAACGTGGGGGTGGGGTTGAGGTGGGCAAGAGATTTGAGTGTGGAGCTGAATTGGTTCACCAAGTGGTCAAGATATGGAAGGAAGGAGAGCATAATGAACTGTGGGGTGAAATCCTAGGAAAGAAGGAAGGCTTAGTATTCACAGTGAGGATAAAGGACAAGTTTAGAGGGAATAAAGCTGAGGAAAATATGGAAAACGTAATTATCAGATAAAGGCATTTAAGAGGTCATGGACATGGAAGTGGAACACTGATAAGTCAAAACACCAACTCTATGTGTAGCTGAAATGGGGTGCAGAGGGTCATGGAAAATGAATAAATTGGGGAACTAAGAAGTTACCTTGCTTGAAGGAATATCAATATGTGTGTTGAAGCTATCCAGTATGAGGGTGGGAGTTGATGAGGAGAGGAAGATCATGAGCCAGGCACTGAATATGTTAGGGAAATAAGAAGAATGTCCTGGGGTTTGATAGATAACAGCTATCAGAATCTTGATTAATTGATAACTATGGATTGAATGCACTTCAAAGGAAGAGGAGTTATATAGTGATGGTGGTAGAGACAGAACCTGGAAGTGGCAATAGGATTGAGGAGTATCTCATCTCACTAACATGACCAGGAAGGGGTGGTGGTGTTAGGATTGGTTGTATCAGTGAAAGTGCAACTTTTTTTTTTTAATGAATGGCCAAGAATGCTGTGTCATAGGGAAAGAGCCAGGCCTAAGTGAATGACAAAAAGTGGAAGGAATGAGAAAGGAAAAATTGTAAGATAAAATCAAGTTTATTAACTGTGTAGTAAGCATTCTGGAGAGCATCGTGGAAAGGAGTAGGTGAATCCTAAGTGAGATATTGGTGGGTGGTTGAGTTAGTTGATGGGGATAGAAATAAAGGAGTTCAAGTAGTGGGTTACAGGCAACAAGTTTTGTACAACTTTGAAGGTTTAGAATAACTGGAATGAGGAGAGTATGATGAAATGAGAGTATAGCTATTGAAGATAAATTCAGACACATCAGTGACAGGAAAGAAGTCCATTGAGGGGTGTAGATTATTGGACTATTCATGTTTCTCCTTCAATGTCCAATTTGGTGGCAAGAGGTGATGTTGAATCCTGTGAAGCTCAGGCAGTCCAATTCTCAGCAGGCAGGAGCAGGGGAAGATACACCATAAATGAGTTAATACAGGAGGCAGGATCTTGTTGTTCAAGGTAGGTCAGGTCTAAGAATGGCCTATGAAGCACTAGAGAAGGCTTGGAGCCAAAGACAGGAATAAGAAGCCTAAGGCCTGTGTCTGGGCTGAAGGAGGGCACTCTAGGAGGTGGTTTAATTTGATTATCTACATCGAGTCTCTCTCTACTC